AGAAAATGAGATTACCACTATAATCAATAAATTTTTCGAGGAGTTGTGTGATGAGATTTTCCCAAATCTCACTTTCATATACGCCGTAATATATTTATGTTGGATGTAAATTATTACAATAATCTATTTTTGTTGTTTTTGCATTAACATTTGTATTAAGTTCTTTACTGATGTCTTTATATATGTTGAGTTTTTGTAGGCTTGCTATATTGTTAAATAGATAAATGTAATACACAAATTAGTTGATATCGCATGTACTTACGCAAAGTCATGAATGTTGATTTGAATTTAATAAAATTGTCTAGGAAAATTTAACCAATTCATAAATTATTTTCTAATTTGTTATTCCACATACCATTATTGTAATTCTGATTGCATTTTGTAACATTCACCATTATTCTACATGCAATTAATGAACGGTGAATGTTTTCCCTATTTCAATAAACGTATTAGTATAACCTTTCCAACACTATTTTAATGAACGGTGAATGTTTTATTTGATTTTGGGATTCAAAGATTGGGCCTGAAGATAGTATGATTTGATTTGGGGATTCAAAGATTGGGCCCTTACTTTCCTCATAATAGCAGGTAGCAGAGATCAATCAGAAACGCGAATTTGAAAAAGAAAACGCCGTTGCCGGGGATCGAACCCGGGTCACCCGCGTGACAGGCGGGAATACTTACCACTATACTACAACGACTTGTTGATCATGTTTCGTGTTTACAATTTATGTATCAAAACAAACAATAATTCGATGCGGAGGGAATGGAATGATCATTGATCAATGTACATTCGCTGATTCGCTCGTACATTTCTTGAGCAATTCCAATATCTGAAGACTGGAGATTTTTTGGATGTTTTATTCTTTTGAATTATTCCCATCCTTAAATGTGAATCAGCACTCTTAAAAGTTTTGGTTTCCATTTTAAGAAAGAATTAGCACTTTTAAAGATTTTCATTTTTATTTTAGAAAAAATAATTAACGCTCGTAGATGATAAATTGATAACTTAATTATTAAATACGGAGTACTTCGTATTAAAAACAATGCACTTTTAACATCACAATTAACATCAATGTCATCATTAATTGCATGTAGAATAATGGTAATGTTAATACGTTTAAATGCTTGCGTCTATTTCTGGTTATTATAACTCATTTTTTAAACGAGTTTTAGAAATCCAAATATTGCAAAAACTATTTACTTTAAAAATTATCCCATATCACATTACTTAGTTTCAACTTTCACATGCTTTTTGTCTTTTACGGTCGACTCAAAAGTGTTGGTTTTTACCTCTTTTGAATCATATTTGTGATTTGTATCATTCTTCGATTTGTATCATATTTCATGTTTGTGAAACAGTTTGGATTTTTCACCTAATTTCATTTCTATTTTCAGTACAGATTACTATAATTACCTCTATAAAATATAAGTAGTTATTGTGTCTATCAATTAGTTTCAAGTGTATTTACACTTTCACTTATTTATGCACTTTGTATTATATATTGTTCATCATGTGTGAGTGGTAGAGTTTATGTCTAATCATTGGGTTTCTGATTGGGAGTGGTATTATCATTGGTCTATTGTAATGGTCTTGCTTTATTAATTCCAATGTACGCAATTTCAATTAAGAAAGAGTGTGTTCAGCTCCTATAATCCTAAACAAACAAAACTGACAACAAGAAAAATCCCTATATAGAACTAAAACAAATAATAAGTTCATCAATATGACTATCTTTGTTTTATTTCCAAAGTATGACTCATTCACTCCTATTTTGGAAAGTTTCAATGAATCTATTCTTTTAATAAGACTAAATAAGTCTTATTTGGTGAATAAAACATAATTAGTCTTATTTTTTGCTTTTATGTATGTTTTAGTCCTATATCCAGCAATTTCTATGTAAGTATAGAGTACTCCAATTAATTGATTTTCCTTTCTGCTAAAATATTCTACGTTCCAAGCATCTTCTAAGTATCGATCAATGCTTCCAGAGAAGTGGAAGATCATAAATCTTTTCTATGGAGTAGCATTGTAGCAAGAAATCATACTCATATTTTTATAGTGAAAGCGAGTGAAAGTAAAATTGAAGCACGTACTTTTTCACACGCAATGACGTAGAACCCTGCTTATGTATTGTGTATTTTCTCTAGTATTTTATCTGTGTATGTTTGGAGTCTTTGTTTGTGTTTTCGTTTATTTCACTGCTCTATTTATTTTTTACTAGTATTTCACTCGTGTGTTGCACGAGAATGCGCAAATCAATACGTAAAATTAAGTAAGAGTTATAATTCCAAGAAATGACAATCAAAATTACAATTTGGTGATTTTTGTGATCATAATACAAATCTATCAACCAAGATTACACTTTTTATGAACCTTATTTTATACAACCATCAATTTGATTTCTTTAATTGAGCGGGTTAGGGGAGCATGGGGTAATGTTTCTGACTCTTTGCTTTTTTTACCCCAAGGAGGTAAGGGAGTTAGGGTAGCCTAGGGTAAACAGGGTTGAAACTCCCTTCACGGAGTTTGAAACCTGATAACTCCCGTATGGGAGAGTGAGACGGCGACCAGCTGAGTTGGGGTGCTTCCTGAAACTTCTGACACTTTGCATATATGGATAGGTTCTTTCTAAAACCGAGCAAGTTTTTACCCTGAATATCGAACCACTTCACCGGTCCTCAACGTTATATACGAAACCGGGATCGGGTCAAACTACTTGTAAGGTTTCGATTCTTCAATATTAGGTATTGGACCGGTCATTTTGATCCCAATAAGTATTTCTCATTTTTTATTAATAGGATAGAAAGCGTAGTTTGTCGAGGGGCTATCACCTCCAGCAAATATATGACCATTGAAAAGGAAGAGAGGGAAGGAGGAGTAATTATATTTTTCAACGATACCATATTTATGTTTCTATAAAAACGATTCATGACATTTATTAATACCAAGACTTTCAACCACACCATGTTTATATTTCCATAAAAATGACTCGTGGTAATTTGCTTCTCAAAGAGTCCCTTATATATTAATACTGTATTACCTTGTTTTGATTTGATGTATGTTATTAGTAATAAGTTACTAACATTTATAGAGCATATAATTATATTTCCTATATAACTCTTACATGTATGCCACATAATAAGTTCTTTTTTTTTTGAAAAAAAAAGTTCTTAAGTTCTATACATGCATCTTGTCTTGTGAATTGTTAAGATGTAGTGATTTAGTTTTCTTGATTGCGTATAAGGTTGTAGAAGAAACTGGGTCTGACCCATTTAAACATGGGTTTGGGTTGGTTTCGGGTACCGGGCGGTCCGGACCCGGTCTCATTCTATTTTTTTTTTCGTTTCCATCATTTCCAAGCAAAAAATATGGTCGGTCCGGGACTGGAACCGCTCGATTCAGTCCTAAAATGAGTGAACCAGGATCGGGTAACATGCTTGGGCAAACTATGAGTAGTCCCAGCCCGGTCCAATCCCAAACAGTGTCGGACCTTGCCAGACTGCCGAACCGAGTTCATCCCTACATATAAGTAAGGAATCAAATGTACATAAAATGCATTGCACTTAGAAGAGGGGGGGATGTAATGTCTACTTTTCACCATGTATAGATTACTCACAGTCACTCATCACTAAAAAAAAAGAGCGGAGGATTAAAAATACTACCATAAGAAACACTGAGGTTCTCAAGTATCATTATTACCACAAAGTGACAAACAAAGTATTCTTTTTGTCTCCATTATGTAACGTGCATAAAAGCACTTTTGAGGTAGAACCACATAGGAGGGACATGGACTACATTATTATTGTTAAGATTTGAAAAGGAGAAGAAGATTTGGAGTTGGTCTTGATGGGAATGGTTGAGGAATCAATTTAAGCTACACACATTTCATCCATCAATGTCCGAGCATTGCTACTATGACTCGCATTCTCAAAATCATCAGCTACATCCTTCCCTCATAAGACATTGAATATACATGTAGCCTAATATACATGTAGCTAGGCAAGCTATTAAACAAAGACATATACCCCAGTCGAAGCAACTAAAAAAACATACGTAGTAAAAAACATAGGAAGAAATTCCACGGAAAACAACAATATACACATACACATACACATACACAATGAAAGCCATCAAGGGACATATGGTATTTAGATGAATAACATAAATTAAAAAAATGGTATTTATATTTAAGCTACGCATTTTACAAAACACGATATATTCTTTTTGCATTACAGCTTTAGGAAAAACTGAAATGTAATGCAACAGTAGTAAACTTCAAATGGTCAAGTTAATTCAATTGGCTTCGTAGTTGTACTACATGACTTTGACATTGCACCTTTAGATCTATTGGCTAAGAAAACTAAACAATGTTTTAACTATTTCAAACTGAATCCCAAATTAAGATATAAAACCACCAATTGATTTTATTCGAGTGAACTAAATTAACACTGATTTTCCGAGTTAAGATACCTCTGAGTCACACTTACACAATCATGTACTCTTTAGTCTCCCAATCACAACTTCATGTACTGATCTGACATTTTTCTCAAAACTTAATAAGTTTATACTTTTATGATAATATGTTTGACAAAAAACATTTTCATAATATCAATACATTTGTATATAAATATATAATCGATCAAATTTAGACACCATTGACTTGAAAAGTCATGTTTGGCTAACTAAAAAGGTTTTTGACAAAGAACACTAATAACTTAATAAGTTTATACTTAATACTACCTTTGTCCCCTATTATTATACCATTGCGATTTACGATGTTTGACTGACGATAAGACAAACTGATCTCTGTCCACACTCAAATTATTTTTAGAATAAAAAAATTACATATCCAGAAATTACATTAAAAGCTTTACAAAGTCACAAAAAACGGAATCAAATTTAACAAAAAATTGATAATGTAAGAGATTGAGATATTTAGGTTGACCAAATGAATAAGAACTGAGAGTCTGAGACAATAATAGAGGGACAACGGGGGTAATTAATAGGTTATAAACTTAGTAATGAATAGTAATTAATAGTTGTATAAAAGCTTATACTTTTATAAACTTTCAAATTATTAGTATAAACTTTGTCAACTTTGACAAATTTAATAGTATTTTGGACAAAGTCAACCCTTGCATTTTTACAAAGAACACCAATAATTTAATAAGTTTATACTTTTATACAATCCGTTGATATTAATAAAAAAATAGCAAACTAGTGCTGAATATAAACTTGCTAAAAAATGCACGAGCACAAACGACGAAGTATGTTTAAATTCCGTGAGCATTGTTTAGTGTTGTCCCTTCCACCTATGCATGCTGCATCTTCATCATGTACAACGAATAGAGAAAAACACCAAACAAAAAAGCAGCGGTGGATTTCGATCGAAGTAAACGGGTGACACAGCATGTCCGCTTGATGAGGCAATACCCAAACAGATGTTCGCCTTCTCATCTTTTTAAACAAATTATTGCTGAGTGAACACACTGTATGGTTCTCACTTATATTGCTGAGAAACCCGGTATGCCAGTTTATCCATGAACTGGCATTTTTTGTGGAATCCCCAACCCGGATTGCTCTGCATTGTACAGTAGGTAATCAATACATCACTTTCACTTGTATATACGTAGTATATATGAAGCCAAAAAACTATAGTTATGCATTAAAAAAAATGGAAGTATTAGCCACATTGACTTTCCTTCACATTTCCACAGTCAAACCAACAGTGCCACAAAAATTAGAGAAATCGACAGCATTGTGTTTGATACGTCACCTATGATTGACCAATGCTTACTCCAAAATTAAAAGAAAGAAAAAATGCTTATAAAGAACCTGAAGTGACTGAACAGCACGGTCTGTGAACATCTTCACTGAACTGGGTGCGCATTGTGGAAGAGTAGATGCAACTCTTTTCAGTTCCTTGTGCTGCTGCTTTGCTGTTACTCTGTCAGGGCCACTGTAGTGGTCAACTATCTCTTTTATAAGCGGGAGCCTGACCTCCATCGCTTCTTTCATGGCTTCCTGGATGAGTGTCAATAACAACAACATTAACACCACACCAATGGTATAAACAATGGCATCTACAGCAACAATATGTGACATATCATATCTTTAGTAGGAAAATCAGTTATACAACTGATTTGGAACTAAATAATCATTTCATTTCATTTTCATTTACCCCAGTGCCGCAAAGTCTCCCAACTACGGTGGGGTAAGGGGGAGGGGGGGTCGGATGTACGCAGTCTTACCCCTAAAGCACAGAGAGACTGTTTCCGGATGACCCATAGTGAAAATCGTGTCCAAAATTGCATGGACTGACTGCTGCTCCATAACAAAGAAGCGCAGACAGTTTAGTGAGTCATTTTGCTTTATTCCATCATAATCTCAAGCCAAAAAAATGAATCTTTGGCTCCATTGCAAATGATGGAAAATTTGGAACTAAATAATGATGGATAAAATTACAGCTTCAAGTGTTCATCGTTGTTTCTTGACATATAGAATTCATCACAGCTTATGCACTTTTGTATTGGGTGTAGAGGAGGTTAACTAGTAGAAGCAAGGCAGTCAAAAGCGATAGCGCACACTCAAGGCAAAAGGTCCTATATCGCCAGAGGCACCAGGCACAAAAAAAGCTATGGAATGACTCGTAAAGTGTACACATTTGAAAACATTGTCTAGATTGTTCTCAAATCATCAAAAACATGTTACTTAATATAAAACCAAACCATATGCACCAATAATGTCACAAACATACTACCTCTGCCCCTCATTTAACTGCTCTTTTACGTTGACGCAACTTTTGAGAGGGTTGAAACTGTGTTCTTGATATTTTGTTTTAGGGGAAAGAAATTATATCAGCCAAGTAATGCTTTCTAAAAAAGGAAAGTGAAGATAGTTTAGGGCTGACCGACTGATGGAGTAACATATTAGCCATTGCCATGTAAGGCCAATATAGGAAATAATTGAAAAACTGACTACTGAATAAAGTATTGAACTACATAATATGGAAGACCAAAAGTGCATCAATTTAATGATCGGATAATTTGGGTTTTATAATCAGTTCATGAGACTGCATCAAGGCGCTATACTATAGCCTCACTCTGATGACTGCACCTGAGATAGTTCATGGTGCAAGGGCTCTTTCGTGCCTCTCCTTTGCGCACAGGCGAGTACCTCTAGCACTGTTGACTACACTTAATGGAATTAGACCTTGTTCTTGAGGAAGGTGATGAAAAGGTCAAGAGTAACAAAGTGCGCAAGCAAGGTTTTAAAAGGCTAAAAGAAGCCTCGAGGCGCTTTACTTTAGCCTATTAAAGCTAACCAATGCATGATAAAAAAAATAGCTTTTCCCAAAAAAATATACTCCCTCTGTCCCGCAAAATAGTTCCCGGTTTCCTTTTTGGGCCGTCCCAAAAAATAGTTTCCATTTCCCTTTTTGGAAAGTTTTGTGTGGCTCATATTCATTTATCTTTTTCTTACTTAACCACAACCATACATTTCCACTTTATTCCCACTTTTTTAAACTCCGATCCAAGTCAATGCGCGAACTATTTTATGGGACGGAGGGAGTATATAACTTCACAACAAAGTTATAAAATCATGAAAATAACCATATGTTTAAGCCAAGTTGTCTTAAAACTAAAAGTTGCCGCAAAGAAATGAAAATGAACTGCTACTAAGTAAGAGTTATGCATGAATGATTAGCTTTACTTGTTATAAAAGTCTTACCGAGTACAGAGCAGCTGTGATAAGAAGAGTAGCAAGCTCCTGGCTCAACAGAGAAGAGAAAATATCTAACTAAAGAGAACAACATCTAACTAGAGACCTTAGGATTTTGCATATTGATGTATTGACATTGTTTACCTAACTCAAAGACGTATCGAGCCAGATTCTAGAGATCTGTTGGGACCAATTACTTGGTAAAAATCAGGCATAAGTCTCAACTACCTATCAGGTCTTGCGCCTCTAGACAACACAGTGGGGCTTAAGCCTTGAGACATTTAACTGTGCTTTGCACTGAGAAACACCTTGGTGCGTACACCTAAAACACCATGTAAACCATGTGTACGGTTTAAAGCGTCAATTTGCATACAACCTGATTTAGGGTGTAAACATGGTAAGAGAAGAGATCGAATTATCAACATGATATTACAACTTAACTCTATCCTTCTCAATGTATATCTTCCATTTTAGAGCAAATCTTCATCTGTTCCCTTCTCAGAACACCTGTTCTCAGTTTTTATATGTTTTATTATGTTCTTTCTTCTCAGTGTTTGTATATACTCCCTCCGTCCCGAAAAGATTGGCCAAAGTTGACTTTCACGTGGATTAATAAAATAAAAACTGTGTGGTTGAAATTTGAACAGAAGAGAGAGAATTAATTTTAGCCACATATTCCTTACTTTAAATGGAAATGGCAAATCTTTTTGGGACATCCAAAAAAAGAAATTTGGTCAACCTTTTCGGGACGGAGGGAGTAATTTTCTACTCTATGCTTTAAAGCTTTTTTAAGTTTTTCTTATATTTTATTTTAGGACTTACAGCCTTTATGGCATTCTTTACGAAGTTTCATATTTACTTCATAATTACTTAAATATTACAGAGTACTCCTTCCGTATTAGTAGGCTTTTCACGTAGTTTAAGATAATTTATAGGTTTACTATACACTTTTTGAAAAAGTAGAGGAGATTTTGGGTACTGTAGCAGTACTGTTTACTTTATTAAAATGTATTGTAGCTGCTTTTGGGGTGGATTTATTTCCTAAAATGGAAGTGAGACACTTATATTGATACGGCCAAAAAAAGAAAGTGAGACACTTATTGTGATACGGAGGGAGTATTTGTTTATATTTACACTTCACTTAATGGTCTGCCCGAAAGCAACTCATTCCCTCGTATTTTGTTTTTGCAATATCAATCCAACTTTGGGTAACAAGTTTAGGTAATCAATGGCTACTTTTACTTGCACTTACCTTTCCTTTTTATTACATAATCTTTTGCACTCTTCCATTACTTACACTCTTGTACACCACGTCCAAACAGAGTGTTAGAAAGCACAAAATTATCAAGCAATACAAAAGCTCCAAAAAGCATAACCAAAGGACAAGTGCACATTACAATCGTAAAGCAAAATTCATCTGCTATAAAAAATATTGGATGCATAACACTGCATTCTAAGAAAAGCAAACATAGTTGGATCTTATACCTCCCACTTTTCTTGGCTTTCAATTCCTTCGTACACCATAAGGAATGGCTTCATCTTCTCAAGGGCATCTCGCAATGAAATAGGAGGTTTCTCGTCAATATCGGGATTCCTGTCAAAATCTCCCATCATGTACTCTTCTTCACATTCAATCTGCAGGTAAAACAATTTAAATGTCATAAAAACTGCAGAAATTTGGTCGATTCAGAAAAAACTAGATCAAGTCATCAAACAAGGATTGTATTACCTTTAAATTGGTATCAAGAGCATCCAGATAAGCATCCTCGATACGAGATGGAAAAATTCTAGGAGCAATTTCTTCAATGCCTTCAGCTAATTGGCTCATAATATCAGGACCAATCTCTTGAGCCAGCTTTTCAGCAGCAGCAGCATCACCAACGTTAAAGATATCACCATATTTCTCACCAACATCTTCCTGTACTTTACCCTCTCCACTTCCTCTCCCTCCTCTGCCTCTTCCTCCTCTCCCTCCTCTTCCTCCTCTCTCCCGTTCACTAAACCCACTACGTCCCCTCCATGGAATGGTTCCTCCTCTTCCCCTCCATTCACCATTGCCACCTCTTGCTTGTCCACCATGACCAGTCCCACTACTCGTGTCATCTCTGTTGAATCTTTGACCAGGAGGTCTGCTGTTTTCAGGGCCACCGGGAACTGGTCTCTGCCAACTAGTTTGAGGATTTTGCCTCTCCCTTAGATGCCTGTTTTCTTCCTTGGGTTTTTCAGGAGAAGCTCGAATGGTCTTTCCACGGCCTGCACCAGATAAAACAGAGATGATATTCGAAGGAAGGAGACTGGCTGCACCACTGGACTCAACAGATGCTTTGGCTCGGAAATCCGGAGAGTCTTCTTCTTTTACAAAGAACAAAGGCCTGTTGGAAAGTGGCAGTTGAGGCGGCATCTGCTCCTGAGATTGTGGTCGTGGAGCAGAAGTGGGGCCTGGGATGCCTCGGCCGCGTCCAGCAGGGCCATTACTATCATGCACAAATGAAAATAAGGGCTTGCTGCTACCACGGCCGTGCCCAATTCCACTATGTTGCCCTGCAGAAGCTGACTTGTCATCCTTTGCATCACTGGACTCATTTTGGTTTGGTGTAAATCCAAAAACAGAAGAGTTACCGGAGCCGAATCCACCGCCTCCCCGGCCACATCCGCCACCATTGCCGGATGAAGTTGAGAATACAGAAGTAATGAAAGATTGTTGGCATGATATACTGCCGACAGAGCAACGAGGAAGCTTTCCCCAGCTACGGCTCATATCCAAATCCTTTTGAGATCAATTAACAATTCATAGCATACAGAGCCGTCTACGGTAATTATGAGGCCCTACACAGTCAGATAAATATTTCATTTGAACAAGTTTTATTCAGCGTAACTATTGATGTAAAAAAAACTTTGAAAACAATCAATCCAAAATAGAGCAAAAAAATTGACATTCTACTAGCATAATTTTCTAGTTTTTTAAAAAGCAAAATTTGTAAGAACATCAGTACAACCATGAGTAGTCATGTAACATTTTCTTTCAATCGATAACATAGCCAAACCAGATAATCTATGTTTAGCTGATTGGAGATATTTTTTATGATGCTTCAATTTTGATCAATTCCTTTATTAATTTGTTCTTTCAATTCTCTTTGTATATCCTCAATCATGTTTTTATTTTCCCATCATCACAAAACCTACAATTTCATACAGAATAATAATTACGTAAATGAATCATAAATTATAATCTAATCCATATACTCCGTATATAGATTATATGTATTCAGATTTTCAATCCAGCTCACAAATAACAATTGCGACCAGATAAAGTTTTTCTAAGCTTTAACACATCCACAAAAGTGATTATTATAATCAATTTATTTACACACCTAAATGAGCAATTAAGTTATTTGAGTAATTGAATAGCAGAATAGATCAATACTTTATGTTATTTAAAAAACAAAGATCAATACTTTATACAATTATTAAATTATACTTATACAGTTAATGTATTATACATATAAAATTTTATTATTTGAATACAGATACAATAATACACCCTGGCCTACTACTCCCTAAGCGACTAACAATTGGAAAAACTAAAGAATCTCTAAATACGATAGTATATAAAAGCCGGACATCTGCATAATTTTGGCTCTCCTCCGTACTAAGGCAACACTGGCGGCGTATTGGTTGGTCATTAAATTAAAGCTTATTACAACTCCTTAATTTAGAAAAGTATTCATCGTTTAATTGAAATAACAGATAAAGAACGAAGCTGAACAACACCCTCTAAGCTTGATCTATTGACTGCTGATAAGATATAAAAAGGTATGCACGAACAAACAAAACAAGATGCTATAAAATAAGAAGACAGTTAGTAATAATACACTAACCTCTGGATACTGGACGAACGGCGTGGTGTAGACTGCGTCCGACCTACAACCTATTAATCAATAAGAACTGAAGAATTTGATCTGGAAATTTTGATCCGATAGTGATTCAACAAAGATGAAGAACGCAGAGTAGTTCTGGATGCGGAAGAAGAGAAGAATCATGAAAAGCCTTAACCTATCTATTAGGCTGTTACGTATTTATACTACAGGTTATTAAACAGAGGCCCAACAGGGTAAAAGCCCAAAAATGTAAAAGAATGAAAGAATCAGCCCAAGTTTATTCTTGATACGCCCCTCAAGAGGAGCATGAATGTCCATCATGTTCATCTTGACCGCAAATTCATTGAAAAGAAGATTTCCAAGTGCTTTAGTATAGATATCTGCAAGTTGAAAATTATTCTTAATATGAGTCAAAGATATTAAACCAGAATTAATTTTTTCTCTAATTAAATGGCAGTCTAATTCTATATGTTTTGTTCTTTGATGCTGTACAGGATTATGGGCTAAATGAAAAGTTGATTTATTATCAGTATGAATAGTAATGGGTAAAGTAAAGTGAATATGTAAATCACAAAGAATATAGTATAACCACTGAGCTTCACAAACTGCATTGGCAGCAGCTCTATACTCAGCTTCAGTAGAAGATCTGCTTACTACTTGTAGTTTTTTAGATTTCCAGGAAATTAAGGAGTTACCAAGATAAAAAGCATAACCAGAAACACTTCTTCTAGTGTCTATACAAGCAGCCCAGTCAGAATCAGTATAGCCTTGAATACAGAAATCAGAAATAGATGGATAAAAAAGACCTTTACCTAGAGAGTTCTTAAGATACCTTAGAATTCTATGAGCTGCACTCATATGAATATCAGTTGGTGAGGAAAGAAATTGACTGAGAACTTGAACACTATAAGCAATATCAGGTCTAGTAACAGTTAAGTATAATAATTTGCCAATTAATGTTCTATAAGGTTTAGGATCATTCAAAACAGTACCTTCCTTTTTAGAAAATTTTAATTTTGGATCCATTGGAGTAGTGTAAGGTTTAGACTGTAAATAACCATATTCATTAAGAATATCAAGAGTATATTTTCTCTGGCAAAGATTTATACCTTTATCGGATCTGGCCACTTCAATACCTAGGATATATTTTAGTTCACCTATATCTTTAATAGTAAATTTTTTATTTAAAAAAGTTTTTACAGCATTAATTTCATCCATGTTATTTCCAGCAAGAATTATATCATCTACATATATTAGAAGAGCAGTAAAAGAGTTGTTATTAGATTTAGTAAATAATGAAAAATCAGCTTTATATTGTATGTAACCAAAAGATTTTAGAGAATCAGAAAGCTTACAGAACCATTGTCTAGAAGCCTGCTTAAGACCATAAAGGCTTTTAGTTAGTTTGCAGACCCTGTTATCAGTAACAGCTAAATATCCTGGAGGAGGCTGCATAAAAATATCCTCATTTAAATCACCATGTAAAAAAGCATTGTTAACATCTAATTGATGTAAAAACCCAGTTTTTAGCACTAGCAATAGCTAAAATAATCCTAACAGTAGTAATTTTGACAACAGGAGAGAAAGTATCAAAATAATCAAATTCTTCTTCTTGAGTATAACCTTTAGCAACTAATCTTGCTTTATATCTGTCTAAAGAACCATCAGGTTTTAGTTTAGTTTTAAAAACCCATTTACAGCCTATTATATTTTGATTTGAAGGTGGAGTAACTAAAATCCAAGTTTTATTCTTTTCAAGAGCTTGAATTTCTGATGACATAGCATTTTGCCATTCAGGAAATTTGACAGCTTGTTTATATGTTTTGGGTTCAGTAATTTTAGAAAGAGCAGCAATAAAGCAAGAATGAGAAGTACTTAATCTATTGTATGTGATATAATTTTGAATAGGATATCTAACTAAATTACAAGAAGAAGAGGGTTGGGAAGTACCTGCAGTGATAGAATTAGGTAAATCATAAGTGTAATCTTGAAGATGAATAGGTAAAGATCTTACCCTTGTTGATTTTCTGTGAGATTGATCTTCTGGAATAGAATGATTAGTCTGTAGAGTACTAGAATCACTTAAATTGATAGAAGCATTGGAATTGTTAAGATTAATTTCCTCATTAATTTGATTTTGTAGGTAATCTGTAGAAATATTTGAATTTATATTGTAATAATATGAAGAAAGATCATTAGTTTCAATAAGGTTGTTATCAGAATGAGTAGAGTTAGACAGATCAGAATTGTTTTTATAAGGAAAAATCATTTCATAAAATTTAACATTTCTGGATATAAGAAATTTATGATTTGCAATATCATAAAGTTTATAACCTTTAGATCCTAAAGGATAACCAATAAAAACACATTTGATAGCTCTTTTATCAAACTTTGATCTGTCAGCTTTTAAAGTAGAAGCATACACAAGAGATCCAAAAACCTTTAAATGAGAGTAATCAGGAACTTGATTATATAACAATTCATAAGGAGATTTATTATTAAGAATAGAAGTAGGTAATCTGTTTATGATATGAACAGCAGTGAGAATACAATCAGACCAAAAAATAATAGGCAGACATGATTGAAATAAAAGAGATCTAGCAACTTGAAGAATGTGTTGATGTTTTCTTTCAACTTTAGCATTTTGTTGAGGAGTTTCAACACATGAAAGTTGATGAATAATGCCATTATTATTATAAAAATTTGGAAATATAAATTCACTACCATTATCAGTTCTAATGATTTTTATTTTAGTATGAAACTGAGTATTTATGAGATTATAAAAATTCATCATATGAAATTTAACTTCAGATTTGGTTTTCATCATAAAAACCCAAGTACATCTAGTATGATCATCAACAATGGTTAAAAAATATTTGAAACCAGAATAAGATTGAACCCTAAAAGGACCCCAAACATCCATATGAACAAGATCAAAAGCATGAGAAGCATAAGAAGTACTATCAGGAAAAGGTAAACATTTTTGTTTAGCAAAATGACATATATCACAAATGTTTTTATTCATATGGGAAGGAGCAGTACAATCAACAATAGATTTTAGTTTGTTGAAAGGCAGATGACCCAGTCTATAGTGCCAAACATCATTTTTATTGTCTAAAGGCTGAATGTTAGCAGAATTAACAAAAGGCAGTTTACTGGAAAGAGAAAAATTAGAAGCATTGTAGATATAAAGTCCACTTTGAAGATCAGCATAGCCAATCATTTTGTTGGTGAGCAGATCCTGCAAAGTAGCATGATTAGAAGTAAATTGAACAGAAATATTCTCATGTGAAACAAGACTAGATATAGATATAAGATTAAAATTAAATTGAGGAACATATAACACATTGTGAAGAGTAAAATCATTATTGATTGTGATATCACCTATATGAGTAGCATTAATGAAAGAACCAGTAGGAAGTTGAATATTAATAGATATAGGTTTAGGTGTAGAGTTATATAAACTGAAATTGTGAGTCATGTGGTCAGAAGCACCAGTGTCAAGAATCCAAGTAGAATATTTTGAAGTAGATAATAAAGCAGAATGATTACCTAGAAATAAAGAAGCATCAGGTGAGTGATCATTTGGTGAGACAGCCATAACAACATTTGCAGAAGCAGATTTATCATTCTGAGTTTTCATGAACTCAATAAATTTGTTATACAGAGTGGGATCACAAAGATCTAAGTCAGTAGAAGTAGAATCATTAGTGGTATTAGCTAGATGAGCATGAGTATTCTTAGTATAATGGGTAGATTGAGTAAGCTGTTTGAAGCCAGGAGCAATTCTGAGTCCTTTTGGTCCTTTCCAATTGGGAGGATAACCAATGACTTGAAAGCACTTATCAGCATAATGTCCTTGATAGCCACAGTAATTGCAAATGATAGATTTCTTTTTGTTGTTAGGATTTTTGACTAAAAAGGCAACTAAATCAGGATTAGAAGGATCATGATTGTTGTTGTTAGAAGGAAAGGGAACAGAATTGAGAGGATGTTGAAGATTTCTTTGAGACTCTTCTTGTAGAAAGAAAGAGTAGACATTGGAGAGGGTAGGGAAAGGTGTTTGGAGAAGGTTTTGACTCCTTAAATTGGAATAAGAATCATTAAGACCAACCAGAAACTTTTGTACAGATTCCTTCTGAAGCAGTAATTGATATTTCTCATTGATATTACAAGTACATAAACCACAAGAGCAAGAAGGAAGTGTTTTGAAATTGACATATTCATCCCAAAGGCCTTTAAACACATTATAGTAGGCAGTAATAGACTGAATCCCCTGAGAAATATTACCTAGGGTTTTTTCTAGGTAAAAAACACGAGGACCGTCAGTTTTACTATACCTAAGCTGGATTTCATCCCAGAGATCTTTAGCAGAAGTGAAGTATAAGAAAGTAGACCGAATCTCAGGAGTAATAGAGTAAATTAACCAAGAAAGAAGTAGAGCATTGATACGATACCAGGCTGAGTAAGCAACAGCATTATCTGGAGTCGGTTGATTGATTGAACCATCGATGAACGCCATCTTGTTCTTGACGCTAAAGGCCATCGTGACAAACTTCTTCCAGGCATTGAAATTTTCACCAGTTAACATTTCGGAGATGATTTTTAATCCAGCTTGATCGCTCGGATGCAGGAAATAAGGAGAAGACGGATCTTCAGTAGGATTTAAAGGGAATGAAGAATTCGAATTCATCGCAATAAGGTTTTGCGAAGAACTAGGGTTACGAATTGAAGTATTCGGATGAAAAAGGAAATCGATTATAGAAATCGATATGAGAAAGGAAAAGAAAATTGAAGCAGCGATTAGAGGATCAAACCTAATCTGATACCATATTAATCAATAAGAACTGAAGAATTTGATCTGGAAATTTTGATCGGATAGTGATTCAACAAAGATGAAGAACGCAGAGTAGTTCTGGATGCGGAAGAAGAGAAGAATAATGAAAAGCCTTAACCCTATCTATTACACTGTTCCGTATTTATACTACAGGTTATTAAACAGAGGCCCAATAGGGTAAAAGCCCAAAAATGTAAAAGAATGAAAGAATCAGCCCAAGTTTATTCTTGATACAACATGTGTTGCAGGGAGAAAACGAGAGAAAAGAAAATGAGAATAAGAGAAAAGAAAGAAATATAGAAACGTGTGAGAGAGAGAGAGGGTGACGTTTGGAA